TAATTATAAAATATTAATGATGATGAAAATGACAATAATAGTAACAATGAAGTACATTTCTCATCATCATGCTGCCTTGAATGTGCTTGAATGCAAGTTATCTGCTGTAAAAAGTCTGTTACTTTATGAAAAATAAATGTATAGTTTGCATCAAACAAAAATGAAGCATTGCAGTAAGAAATATTTATTTTGTACTGCTGTTTATATATGCATGTAAGTTTAATAAATAATATTTCTGCTACAAAACAAACAAAAGATTATAATAAATAATTAAATTCAAGGCTGAAAGCTGCAAAACAGTCATCAGTAGCCTAACTAAATAAAAAATAATAATAACATACACCTCAAGAAAGAATAGACAAAGGAAAGTAAGTAAAGTCTCACTTCTATCACTCTTTAAAAGTTTTGGTTTCAGTTTGTGTCAATTTAAATGTTCAGTCTGAGATGATCTTCATTTTTCTGTGTTAGTGGAAAAGCAGGCGAGTCAGCCGACCCAATTTATGAGCAGGTTAAACAGAATTCTTGAGATGACCACCGGCGCAATACCGCTGTTTGTTATGAGCCGCAGTTTCAGTGTAAACTTAGTTAAGGCGAGCTTCTTTGGCGATGATATGTACAGTATTAGATTTGACTTTTAGCGGACATTTGCGCTGAACATGCAGTGAATGCAACGCATCGAGATTCAGGTGCCTTCTCCGAAAAGCACATACTCGATTGATCTCAGCTGGCGGATGAATATTCACCACATGTCATGATCGCTCTCATCTGCGCCTCAACTTTAGGTGGGGTTTGCAAACCTGTGTGCTTTAAGTTTTCACTCTTCAGCCATTTGCATTTCCCGTGGTCATAAAAGCTCCTTCCCTGTCATCTGACAGCGGAATACCTTGAGTTATTGACGGCGTATATAAACCAATATAGCGGCAGGGAAGAGTGATTCAGCACGTTTTTAGAAAAAATCAAAACAGGTCGCACTACAACCATTATCTGCAGTCGCACTAATGTGCCCAAATATATTATGAGGTCGCATAGATTAATTTTCGGCCGCATATGCGACCAAAATGGTCGCAATTTCGAGCCCTGAAATACTATAGTGTTTTTTAACCATACTGACACTGACACCCTCTAACAGAGACAGAAATTTTGCACAATCAGCTAAACTGTTGCTAGAATTGGTTTTATATGGGCGATATACACTGCATAACCAAAAATGATTCAGGTCATGTCTATGTGTTCTGCGATAAGTCCATATGTTGATTGAGACAGGCCTGTCTTATTAAGCCATTATGACTTTTAGTTTATAGTTCTGAAATCATTTATTCAGCTTTATGCAAGAAATCTAGGTTTTATCCTAGATTCTGCCCTTCTATTTGACAAACAGGTAAATCCCCATCCACTGAATTGGCTCCATCACAGTCTCTCCACTCCCCCAATAGCTGGTGTGTGGTGAAGCACTGGCACTATTGTCCTGTGGTTGCTTTCGCATCATCCAAGTGGATGCTGCACACTGGTGGTGGTGTGGAGAGACCCTTCAGGGAAACCCACACAAACACAGGGAGAACATGCAAACTCAACACAGAAATGCCAACTGACCCAGCCAAGGCTCAAACCAGTGACCTTCTTGCTGTAAGGCGATCGTGCTATTCACTGGGCCACCGTGCAGCCTGCTCTACATTTATTGTTTATAATTAAATCATGTAATAATTTAGCAGTAAAAATCATTAACATCAGTTTGTTATCAAAAGTTCAACCAAAAGTTAATTCCTCTTTGTGCTTTCACAGTAATTTGGTTTTATTGCAAGGTTATTTCCTCAATTATTTAATTTTTCCAGTTCTTTTGCACTTTATTTTTCACATTTTATGCATTTACCTTTGTTTCAATTCTGGATTAATCAAAACTCTGATTACATGTTATTAACAAAAAGTATTAAAGTTTTTACAATTAAACAAAACGTCTTAAAAAAAGTTATATATATTTTTTTATATATTTTATATATATATATATATATATATATATATATTTTTTTTTTTTTTTTTTTTTTTATTATTATTATTAAAAAAACATTTTATTATGATCTTTTTACCCATTTTAAATGTTTTGTTGTACATACAACTCATTTTAACATGAGCAACAGTATGTCACAGTCTAATTAGACAACTACTAAGCTATATAAATTAATAACACAACATTATCTCTCAAAAAAGTTGGCAATAATAACGTTAGCTGAATTTTAATCAGTAAAAACACCCATTTTTTGTTTCCAGACTTTCCTAAAAATGTAGATCTTTCCCTTAATTAAAGTACAGTGAGAATACAGTGACTTGTATGTGATGTTAAAGAGTTGGCGGGGGGCTGTTCTGACTGTTGTTTTAATGTTTGTTGACATTGTTCACAGGGGTGAGAGGACGACTATCATTTCCCATCATGCACTCCTCCTCCCCCATGATGGAGGACCGACAGCTGAGAACATCAGATCAAACAGGCTTCACAAACACTAAAGACATCCACAAACCAGCAGCGATTTCTGGAGCTCACAACATTCAACACTTCCATACTCATTCACTGACTGAGCTGGACAGCAGTGGATTATGTGTAATCTGATTAATTATGTAATCAGATTCCAAAAATTAAGTGTATGTAAATGGAGTAAAGCAGTTTTTAAAATCAGTAATCAGACTACATTTATGTTAGCATTAATTTGCAATCTAAAGGCATGTTTGCACGGGATTTGGACACATACATGTGCCTCCACTTAACATGATTCCCATTATCAAATCCTGCATTATAGGTTAAACTGACCTGGTTATACTGACTAATGTAAACAAATTTTATTTATTTTTTGTACAGAAACACAAGCTATACATCTTATTCAGCATGCTAATGCTATAGGCTACAGCAGGCGTTGTGCCCTTCATGTAAAACATCGCCACAAGTGCACTACTATTGTAGGCACACACCTAGTGTCATCTACTATTGTCATACAAATACATGCAGGACATCATTAAAAACTTGTGTATAGCTTTCTCTCCCAAAAAACAAAACATTTCGCCTTTTTAAAAGAAAAAAAAATGCTCGATTTTTCTATTATTTTTACAGAGACAGGCTACTACAGGTGCATGATGAGGCTCTGGTGTTAATGCTGCCATTTGCCACTGACAATTTAACATTTTTATATGCAATTTAATTTTAAACTCTAATTTTATAATGTAAAAATTACCGGAAAATAAAATAAAATAAAACAAAACTAACATCCCAAATTGACAGCTGTGACATTGCATTTTGTATTAAAGGGTTTCTACGAGTTTTATCAAGTCAAATTTAGGATTTTAAGACCTTTTTAAGACCATTTTAGGGCCATAATCAATGAATTATCAGACGTACACAAGGCTAAATGCTAAAGATGTTTTAATGACAAAGTTAAAACCATAAAAAACATTAAAAACAAATGATAATGTAAGGGAGATAATTACACCATATACAGTTGAAGTCTGAATTATTAGCCCTCCTGAATTATTAGATCGCTTGTTTATTTTTTCCCCAATTTCTGAGTAACGGAGAGAAGATTTTGTCAACACATTTCTAATCATAATAGTTTTAATAACTCATCTCTAATAACTGATTTATTTTATCTTTGTCATGATGACAGTAAATAATATTTTACTAGATATTCTTCAAGACACTTCTATACAGCTTAAAGTGACATTTAAAGGCTTCACTAGGTTAATTAGGTTAACTAGGCAGGTTAGGGTAATTAGGCAAGTTATTGTATAATGATGAGTTCTGTAGACTATCGAGAAAAAATAAAGCTTATAAAAAGCTAAAAATTGTTCCAAAAATGTTGTTAAAAAAATTTAAACTGCTTTTATTGTAGCTGAAATAAAACATATTGAGACCCATTTAAAAAGATTTAAGACCTACAATACAATATTTAAGTGGATTTAAGACTTTTTAAGGGCTAAAATTTGCTTTTTAAATTTAACACATTTTAAGACCCCACAGATACCCTGGTATTAGCGCTGTTATATCAATACATATCATAACAATGCTTTCATGTTCTTTACATTTTGACAAGAGTAGAATTTACAGATGATCGATTCCATGCAAATGTTAACCTTGCCATGAAGTTTTAAAGTGAATTTTTCACCTAAACAGTGACCCTAAGTTGTTTGTGTAGGCTTGTGTTTTGCAGTACTGTAAAAAAGTCTCTGTCAATGTTCTCAAACAATTATATTTTATGTACCAAAGTCACTCAAGTGCCAATTTCACAACAATTCCATGCATAAATGCAAAAATGTGAAATAAAAATATGCTATAGTGAGCAACTCTTATCCTTTCAATTAGCATCATTTCTTTTGGGTTGTGCAGTTTAATTCACAAAATGTCTATGTTGTATGCTGCAAACGCGGTAACTTTGTTGATCACATTCATAACACATGTTTATATCCATCATTTAGAATACAAAAATAGTTTTAGAGTCCATAACTCTGTGATTAGCTGTTTTGAAAAATATAAACAGATTATTTAATATAATTTCTCTATAATCTTTCTCTTTATGTTTCGAGTTTTAACTGCAAATGTCACATCCAAACACGCTGGAATTGCTCATATGTGGTTTCAACAACCAGATACATTTAGCCCTGTCCAGTTTTGTCAGGAATGCATCCCAAGCCACCTCCTGAATTGGTTTGAGCGATCACATTTATATCCATCTCGAAAACATTTCAGAGGGTATTTAAACCTGTTGTTTTCACAATCAGAAAGCTATGTGATCAGCAATAAAATGCATGAGGTGACCATATGTAAACAGCTCCTAAGAGATTGTTTTACTAACTGATTCCAATTTATAAGTGATCTACCCAGCTCTTCTTGTTTCTTGCATTAAAATTGTGAAAATGTAAATGCTTCCATCCATGCAATTATTCTCAATCCTGAATGAGTCGTTTCTATAATCAGAGTCAAAGTTACTCAAGTCATGTTGAAGTGAGAATATAAAAGTGCCTACCGAACTGACTGCTGGGTATATTGGGGCCTCTGCTTTTCCCGTTTGACATTGGATGAGGGAACATCTATAAAAGAGAAAATCCTTTTAAAATAGAAAAACACACAGCAATATCATATATTTAAAAAAAATATTGCAAGACTTAAAATGAAAATAAAGTAAAAAAAAATCCAGCTCTAGCAGTTTATCAGTCCTAAAAACACAATAAACTCCAAAGACGGCAATTAAAATTCTTCGTTTACATGAAACAACAAAAAACAACAACAGATTTTTCAAACAATTACAGGAGTATGTATTAATTCCTATTTTAAAAATTCATGTTTTATTCATTGTTACTTGCTGTGACCATGTTATTATGATATTTTATAGTTATGTGTGTGTGTATATATATATATATATATATATATATATATATACATAGATGAGATGCCTTATTTTACATTTTTTGCATTATATATTTTATGTTAAATATATGGAAATCTTATTATTTACAAGCAAAGCATTGTTTAAATTTTAATAATAATAACATTTTAAAATGTGAGAAACAATGTGCCAAAATTCAGTGTAATGGATGGATTTATGTCAAAATGAAAACTTATAATTAGAGCTGCACAATTAATCGTTAAAAGATGGCGATCTCCATTCGACCCCCTAGACGATCTTAATTCTGGATTTCTACAATTCTGCCAATCATATTTTCAAGTTCAGGAGAGAAGAAAAGGCGGCTGCATGAGTCTTTCCATTGTTTCACACACGTTGCTCAGTGACATTGACACCTCCAAATGATGTTGAATGAGTCACATGCTGTATTTATAAGGTATAATTCACCTAAAAATGTCATTTTTGTCTTCATATAATGATGTTTTCGCGGCCGGGAAATCACACGTGACATGAGCTGCTGACCGTGAGCTGTTATTACAGAGAGGGCGCGCATGCGCTCTACTTAATGATGGACGCGCGTGCGTCTACTTTAGGGAGCAGAACCTGCATATGTTGCGAGTAACAGGTAATACAGTTGTAAATAATATTCAGTTTGTCAGAGTGAAACCAAAAGTGTGCACTTCATTTAAATGATCGTATCGCATTTTAGAGTTATGATTACGACAAGCATTTGATATGATTTTTCTTTCATAGCGAACCCACAGTTGTGCATGAAAATAAATGTTTACAATGTCAGTATAACTACTCTAGCCTGTATATTGTTGAATATAATCTGATAATGGCAAATGTCTGATTTTACCAGTGAATAAAATTGTCTAATATGACAGATTGCAAGCATATATCTCGAACATAATAATTCAACATCAGATTTATTATAAGTAGAATTATTTATAGAGACCAGTAGACCTACACATAATATTATTATCGATGTTGTGTCATATGTTTGTTTTTACCATACCTTTATTTTACATCTACAGAATCGTGAGAAAATCGTGATCTTTATTTGAAGCAAAAAAATAAATAAAAAAAATCACGATTCTCATTTTAGCCAGAATTGTGCAGCTCTACTTATATTATACATTCAATTATAAGTAAAAAAAGAACATTAATTATTTTATAAATTAGATTTTTTTTATGTAAAACAATAATACTGAAAATATGTTTTGCGTACAAACGTCGTTTGAAGAAAATTGGCAAAGTATACAATTTTATAAGAAGTATGCATTTATGTATTTTTTTTTTATTTAATGCAATGTCAGCAACCAAGACTATTTTCATGGCAGGAATCTTTCAACAATAAATATACAAATAAAAAAATCAACAAACAAAATAAAACATAAATTAAATAAGATTTTTTGTGTTAATACATGATAAAAATCCTAAAATCTTTTCTGGTTTCACTTTGTTAATAATTTCCTTAAAAGAGTTCATTTCATAAAAAAGTCTTCTGGAATCAGTAAAAGCAGGACAGTCTAGTAAAATGTGTTTTATAGTAAGAGGAGTTTTGCAGCACAAACACTGAGTAGGGTTTTCACCTTGGAGCAAAAAACCATGTGTTATTCTCGTATGCCCAATACAACATCTGGTAAAAAACTACTTGATCAAATCGATTGTTAAAATGTCTTAAAATTCTGTGTGAAATTTCAGGTTGGATTTCATGTAATTTTATAAGATAATTAATGCATAAATGAGGCAAAACTGTGATACAAAATCTTTTTATACAAAATGTAAATATTTGTTTTCCAAATCTGACAAGATCTAAGACATAAAACTATTATGACACTCTATAAACCTTATAGTGGGTGCCTTTAGTAATGCATTTATTATACTTTTATTTATTATACATGCTTATCTTTTGACATTGAACATATTAAACTTTTACTAATATCAATATATTTAATAATATTCTTGATTACATACTTTTATTATAAATAATGCATTTATTTCAGAAAAAATAAATCACTGAAATCTTGCAATAAAGTATTCAAAGTCGTTTTATACAATGAAAACGTGTGGCCCAACAACGTCCTTCAGTTATGACTACCATACAACTCAAAAAAAGACATTTGCTGATTGTTTAAATTACTTCTTTAAAAGGAGTTGAGTTCTCAAGTTTTTGGTAACTTAATTATGTTCAGTCCAGTTAAATTTGTATAAACGATTAAGTTAACTAAATTGATTTGTGTTGGGATCACATGAAGGAATTGTGTGTAACAGTGTACACAGAAAAATGACGTTTGCTGTTTGTTCAAACTATTTACACACAATAAACTGAAACAACAATTCTTGAGTTTTTTTTGGAATAACTTAATTATTTTATGTTCAGTCTACTTAAATTTGCTTAAACGGTTAGATTAGCTGAATTGATTTGTGTTGAGACAGCATAAAAGGATTGTGTGGAACAGTGAATGCCATTTGCTGTTTGCTTAAACTATTTGTACACAATAAGCTAAAACAACACAATTCTTGAGTTTTTTTTAGACAACTTAATTCTTTTATGTTCAATCCACTTAAATTTGTAAAAAAAAAAAAAAATTAATAAGTTAACTTAATTCCTTCATGCTTTCCCAACACAAATCGATTGTGTGGAACCCAGCATTTTCTACAGTGTACAACACACTCACAATAATGCACTGCTGTTTAAGTATTGTGTATCAAAGCGCTTGGCATTTTAATGCAGACACAAAAGCCCAACTCCTCAACTTACAATACTGAAATCCAACAGGTCATTGAGCTCCATGTCGGTCCCCACCGTCGCCATCCTGATCTGCTTCTCTTGATAGACGTCTTTCTTTCAGCTCAAACAGCTTTACGATCCTGCAGAGAAAGAGACGCTTTCAGATCATCTCGCTTAAATGTATCTGGGCCTAGTAATCAAATCTGACATGCATGCGTACGACCCAAAATAATCCGCCTGCTGCTTCTATCTGAAGAACTACTCTACATTAGAGGCTTGCTATAATATCGTGTTTTCCCAGAATGCACCACATCTGAGCTCTCGAGCCCTGGGTTAACCACCAAAGCAGACCACCGGTGACTCTCCTACAACCACCCAAAGCTACACACAAACACACACACACACACACACACACAGCTAGAGTACGGGAACTAGTTAGTTGCACAAACAACTACTGGAATTAAAGACTGCATGTGAGACGTTGGAAAAATCAAGCATGCTAATTTATTTATATAGGAGGATTCAAATAAATAATTTTAATATACACAGTGAAACCCAAATATATTAATATCCCTGGCAAATTCTGATTTAAAGTTTTTGTTCGAATGTAAATAAAGGCTGAAAAATAGTTATTCCATGATGACGCCTCTTGAACGTCGTCTTGTTATCTTTAGGGAGAAGCCTGTGCCATTTCCATTAAAAAATAAATAAATATTGCTAGTTGAATAAAAGTATCCACGTCAGAATTTGCCAGAGATATGACCAATTTCGGGCTTGAATGAATATATAAAATAAATAGTATTTAACATTTAAAGTGGATCCTAAAACCAGAATTCTATTGAACAATAACAATATTTTTACAATAACATACAATATCAATATCACTATCAATCTATCTATCAATCTATCAATCAATCTATCTATCTATCTATCTATCTATCTATCTATCTATCTATCTGATAGAGCTGCATGATTAATCGAAAAAAAGATTGAGATCTCGATTCGACCCCCTAGACCACAGGTGTCAAACTCAGTTCCAAAAGGGCCGCAGCTCTGCACAGTTTAGTTCCAACCCTAATTAAACACACCTGATCAAACTAATTGAGTCCTTCAGGCTTGTTTGAAACCAACAGGCAAGTGTGTTGGAGCATGGTTAGAACTAAACTGTGCAGGGCTTCGGCCCTCCAGAAATTAAGTTTGGCACCCCTGCCCTAGACGATCTTAATCCAGCATTTCTACGATTCTGCCAATCATATTTTCAATTTCAGGAGAGAAGCAAAGCACGAGTCTTTTCATTGTTTCACATACATTGCTCAGCAACATGTATACCTCCAAATGATGTTAAAAGAGTCACATACTTTATTTTTAAGGTATAATTCACCTAAAAATGTCATTTCTGTCTTCATGTAATAATGTATTCGGTCTGCATATCTGCATAGGTTGTAAATAACAGGTAATAAAGTTGTAAATAACATTCAGTTTGCGAGACAGACTGATCGTTTGGGAGCTGCGCGAAAAGTATGAACTGCACTTAGCAGTGAAGATGAAACCGTGCACATCATTTAAATAATCATATCGCATTTTAGAGTTATGATTGCGACAAGTTTGTTAATGTTTTTTACTTCATAGCGAACACAAGAGTGTTGTGCATGAAAATAAATGTTTAACACTGTCAGTATAACTACTCTAGCCTATATAAATGCAAGACACAATGCAAGAGGGAATCTGATAATGACAAAGGTTACCAGTGAATAAATGGTCTAATAATGTTGTCAAGGACAAATGGCAAGCATATGTCTCAAACATAGTAATTTAACATCAGAATTATCAATAGTTGTATTCTGATGTCTTTACTGTGCATTAATGACCAGGACAAATGTAAAGCCTGTTCAAGTTCACCATTCAAAATCTATAAAAAATTTAGCATTTTAACCAATAATAGACCTACACATAATATTATTGTTGTTGTTTTACCATATGTTTGAGAAATAACAATAATATTAGACTAATCATATTAACCTTTATTTTACATCTAAAGAATCGTGGGAAAATCGTGATTTTTATTTATTTATTGCCTAAAAAATGATTCTCATTTTAGCCAGAATTGTGCAGCTCTACTATCTAAGCAATATCACATACCATTGCAACATGGCAGTAAATCAGCACTGCTGTGATTCATGCCATAGTAAATCCAAGCAGTGATGATATACAACATTATAGCTGTGTTATGAGCATGATATTACATTTATACAACAGTTTGACAGCATCAATGAGTAAACAAAAACAAACTACGTAGTGTCTCAAAAACCCTTTTGTGTGAGGAAGTCAAGAAACTGCTTTCTTCTGGCACAAATTCGTGGATCTAACATATGGATTATAAAATCTAGCACATTTATTACTGGACAAATAGCCATTGCTAATTTAAAAAGCCACTTAGTAATTAGAAGTTGACATTACATTGGTCAACAATATAAAGCATCTAACTGAAAGTCAGAATAAACCAAGATTGTGTATAGCATAAATTTTATAAAAGTGTAAAACTTAACACTGGAGACAAATCTGTTTGATCTGGAGCAAATAATAGATGGGTGTAGCCAAGTATTGCTTAAGATATATCTAGAAATAATCATATTTCACATTTAGTTATTATACAGATTAACACTATTAATCAAATCCAGCATTTCTACGATTCTGCCAATCACATTTTCAAGTTCAGGAGAGAAGCAAAGGCGGCCACGCAAGTCTTTACCTTGTTTTACAATTGACGTTCAGCAACATGGACACCTTATTTATAAGGTATAATTCACCCAAAAATGTCATTTCTGTCTTCAGGTATTCGCCTCTGCAAAATCACACCTGGCATGAGCTGACCGTAAGCTGTTACCAAAGAGAGTGCGGGCGCACGCCTATGAATAGAGTCTGCTTTAGAGAACAGAATCTGCATAGACTGTGAATAACAGGTAATAAAGTTGTGAATAGCATTCAGTTTGTGGCACAGAGCGATCGCCGCGCTGGAAGTATGAGATGCACTTAGCAATGAAAATGAAACCGAAAGCGCGCACATAATTTAAACAATCATAATGCATTTTAAAGTAATGATTACGACAAGCATTTATTGTTTTTCTTTTATAGCGCACACAGAGTGTTGTGCATGAGAATAAATGCTTAACAGGGTCAGTATAACTACTCCAGCCTATATAATGTTGAATTTAATGCAAGAGGGAATCTGATAATGACAAATGTCCGATTGTACCAGAAGAAAAAAAAAGTCTAATATTGTTGTCAATGACAGATTGAAAGCACTTCCCGAACATAATAATTTAACATCAGAATTATCAATAGTTGTATTCTGATGTCTTTACTGTGCATTAATGACTAGGACAAATGTAAAGTCTGTTCAAGGCCACAATTCAAAGTCTATTCAAAATTTAGCATTTTAACCAACAGTAGACCTATACATAATATTATTGTTGTTGTTTTACCATATGCTTGAGAAATAGCCATAATAATAGCCTACTCATATTAACCTTTATTTTACATCTATGGAATCGTGAGAAAATTGTGATTTTTATTTAAAGCCAAAAAAATTCGATTCTCATTTTAGCCAGAATTGCGCAGCTTTAATGCAGATATGCAGCAGATTCCAGAATAAGTGTCTGTGAGAAGGTTGCTCTCGGTAGGGAAAGCACCGAACTTTAAAATCTTATCTTCGAATTAAGTACAACACATTTTCAAATAGACAATATCCTCATGAATAAGCTGCAAATTTGGAACATAAAAACATTATAGGATAAAAACAGCCTCAAAAATGCAATGTGTTGTATTATTAATAGTGGAAGATCACACAGATTCCAGCCAATCACAATCGAGAACCAAAAGGAACTGCTGTGCGACTAAACAAACACTCAAATATACATATGCATAATAATAAAACATAGTTTAATTGCTACCCAGCACTACATATTTTTAATTCCTGATAAATGTTGACTAAAGTACAGTTGCAATCAGAATTATTAGCCCCATTTTGAATTTTTATTTTATTTTTAAATATTTCCCAAATGATGTTTAACAGAGTCAGGAAATGTTCACAGTATGTCTAATAATATTATTCCTTCTAGAGAAACTCTTATTTCGGCTAGAATAAAAGCTGATAGTCTACAGAACAAACCATCATTATACAATAACTTGCCTAATTACCCTAGTCTGCCTAGTTAAACTACATTAACCTAGTTAAGCCCTTAAATTTCACTTTAAGCTGTATAGAAGAGTCCTAAAATATATCTAGTAAAATATTATTTACTCTCTTGATGGCAAAGATAAAATAAACCAGTTATTATAGATGAGTTATTAAAACTATCATGTTTAGAAATGTGTTGAAAAAAAAATATTCTCTCCGTTAAACAGAAATTGGGGAAAATAATAAACAGGGGGGGGGGGGGTAACAATAGAGGGGTTTAACAATTCTGATTGCAACTGTATATCAGGATTGCAACCATATATATTAACACTTGGATATGCTGTGTGAATGACATCCTTTTTATTAGAAAACACCTTTAGTTTGCATTGAAAATGCAAATGTCATGTCACCAAAACTCGCCAGCTAAAGCGACATGCCTCAATCTGACACTTTTCCTCTTAATTCATGAACGAACTCATTACACATCAGCACCACATCACAGTCACAAAGAAAGTGAGAAGCTTCATCCAAGAATACTTTTGTCATCGTCACTTTGCTAATAACACCTCCACTGAATTCATAATCAGCGCCTCCATTGACAATCAACAGGTAGATGCCTGTGTAACATTAAATAGCATAAAATACTGCGGTTTAGAGTCACAGGAGGACATTGAAGGGTGCATATTTTTAGGTCAGAGATGTAAAAGATAAAAGTCTGTCAAAAAAAACTTAGTAATTGGTGTATCATTTGGAAATGTTATTTCAAATTTCACACAACTCTTCTGGATCTGACTATATGGTAACATTTCTCCAATGTAAAGGCTGAATATATCTTCAGTCTCACACGATCCTTCAGAAATCATTCATAATTTGATGACGTGATGACCAAGAACAAATGCTATGATTTTAACAGTTGTGCTGCATATATTAGTGTGAAATATTAAAATATTTTAGTTTTATGCTAAATAAAAGTAGAAAAGATCAGCATGTTCCAAACATTTTAGTGACATTATAAATGTGTTTTTTTTACCAATATAATTCTTAGAATCACAGTTTAAGGTTAAAAAAAAACTTAGTGACTGTAAACTTGTCAAAAGTGATGCATCACATAGAAATACACCAACAATGATTATTGCATCACCATTTTTGGAAAATACAGTTAACATGAATATTAGTAAGAATGCTCTAATATTTCAAAACCAAGCAATATTACATAATTTGTAATTATAATAAATGTTTAGAGCATGCTGCATGTGTACATAGTTTAGTGACATCTATGTAACATAGCAGCCATGGGAATGTTGTTTTGGACACCCAGCATGACATTAGCATTGATTTGTTTACATATAACATCATGATATGCCTCAAGAAACTCAACTCAACACCTCATGGCCATCAATAACACCGTGGTTCTTCTAGTTCCAGTGTCACAACACGTGCATGCCTGCAGCGTTACACATCCAGCATCCCAAATATTCCACAATAAAGTCTGTGCATTGAGTGTGATCAGCAACAGGCCGAACCACATGAAGACTTCAGGCCACGTTCACCCTACATGGAGAACAAGACCCCCCTCACCCCCCCCACCCAAAGCCTCAACACAAAGAAACACACGCTCCTCGACAGGCAAACTTTGAAAACTACACGAGAACAAGCAGAACAAACACTCAATAAAAGGGAACACACCGCATGTAGACACCAACTTGAGTATTCCAGACAGGAAAAGGTGGGAAAGCCATTCCCAAAAGAGTAACAAGTAAAGTTATTTCCACCAAAGAAAACTCAAAAAAGGAGCCAGAACACAGGGCGGACTGCAAACACATGGAGATTCAGTAAACAATCAATGTAGAACACTTCAGATTAACTTATATTTAAATCAGAATGTGAACTTTAATGCGTTATAACTACCAAAACCTCTAATAATCACACGAAAGAGGTTGTATATGCGGTATAAAGTTATAAACACACAATTATTGTGGTGAAAACAGGCTATAAAGCGGATTTTAAACTTGACACTGTTGCCAGTATTGAACAAAGAAGCCGTTTCCTCTGGACTAGAACCCACACACACACACACATACTGAAGCTCATAGACAAAACACTTCACACACATTGGGTATGCATCAAAAGTTGGTTAATTACACCACAACCATTGAAGACAACAATAAAGCACGTTTCCACGTGTAAAACCGAATAAACGTGGTAAATACTCACTGTTTCTCGCGTCACGCGCGCGGCATCCAGCGGGAGAGAAACGCGCTTCAGCCTGAGAGGAAAAACAGAAAAGTTGGGGGACAAAATTTCCCCCCTCCGTGTCTCAGGTCCCGCTAAATCACGGTGCAAAATGCGTCCTATTTCCCGGCAGACGCGAACAGTCCGCGTCGACAAGTGTTACGATGTAATAGTGCTCAAATGTAACTCTGCTTAAAGTTCTATTCTAATTATTTTGGGCGCTACAAATGTAACATCTCATCTTCAGAGGAGACATTTTAGCACCGTCCACATTGTCAGCCCCAACAGTGTAATCCTCCGCGCGGAGGGGAGACGTTAGAGCGGTGTCCGATTTCAAACGCCCAGAAAACTAGTACTGCGTTAATCGCGCGTTTACTTTGATATTTAATCCACAACCAACACAATTAAAACGCCAAACATCAGCGACGACAGTATATGTAACTTTATCCTGATATTTCCCGATTGTGCTTTAAATCACGCAGTACTAGACTCGCGCGCGGAATGACACGACGCACTGTTGAAGAGCGATGGACTGAGAAAAAGTGCGAGATGGCACGATAGACCCACTGAGCGGACCAATAGCGATCGGGGAAAGTTTGATTGACGTATTCGGTGGCCAATCGAAGATCGTGTTAACACGAAAGCCAAGCCTCTCTTCCATGCACACCCTAGCCAGGTTTTAAAAGAATGGCAACAGGAAGCCATGGAATACTGTTGTGTTTTGTTGTTTGGTAAATGCTAATGTTTACCGCTAACCGCTCAAACTAACTTCAAATGAATTCGACTCGAAACATAACATTGTTATTATTACATTTAGACTAATTTAAAGTGAAACAGATTATATCACACTAACAAAAGTGCGGTGTACGCAAGGTGTTTAGATGTGGTCTTTATAAAGAGCAGAATGGGGTCAAACATGTGGCAATAACTCAAAACAATGCCATTACTGAGTATAATTACCTGACATCATTGTTACTACCTCAGTGCTTTGAGTTTGTATGTTTAGATGAATTAATTTAATGAGGTACACTAAAACTACGAGTGTCAACTTTTTGTATTACTCTATTTTTATTTTTGCAACACTATAGTACTATATTTTCCCAGAGATGGGTTGCGGCTGGAAGGGAATCTACTGCGTAAAAACTTGCTGGATAAATTGGCGGTTCATTCTGCTGTGGCGACCCCGGATTAATAAAGGGACTTGGCCGACAAGAAAATGAAGAAAATGTTAAATTTGCTTTGCAAAATACATTTTTGCATACTATGAATATTTTTTTGTAAATAAATGCATGACTACTGTATGAAATATTTCTTTATAAATATATATGAAGAGTTCAGATGCAAAAACCTCTAAGTGCTGTCTGAAATTTTCATAGAAAATTACTATTTTTCCCAGACTCCTGTTTATGTTGAGTTATTTCATTTTAAAGACCTTTAAAATAGCGTATTCTTTGCCATAAACTTGAAACGACTGTTTCTACATACAGGAGCCTGATAAAAATGCTAATTTTTTATGACAATTTCAAATGGCTTTTAGGTGTTTTTGCATCTGAACTCTTATTTACAGGAGCTCAACTGCGCATTTACTGATGGGTATGTGTCTTCAACTTTTGCACTTATACTTGCAACTTTTTTTATATACATATACACATAAATATACACAGTACACATGTATATATTATGCAAATTCAAACTATTATCTTGGATGCAATTAATCGTTTGACACCACTAATATATAATATATTGTAATTCTTTTTACATTTTAAGCATAGGCAACGCATTGGCGCAGTAGGTAGTGCTGTCGCCTCACAGCAAGAAGGTCTCTGGTTCGAGCCTCGGCTGGGTCAGTTGGCGTTTCTGTGTGGAGTTTGTATGTTCTCCCTGTGTTTGCGTGGGTTTTGTCCAGGTGCTCTGGTTTCTCCCACAGGCCAAAGACATGTGGTACAGGTGAATTGGGTAGGCTAAATTGGCCGTATGAGTGTGAATGAGTGTGTGTGTGGATGTTTCCCAGAGATGGGTTGCAGCTGGAAGGGCATCCGCTGCATTAAAAAACATGTTGGATAAGTTGGCGGTTCATTCCGCTGTGGTGACCCCGGATTAATAAAGAGACTAAGCCGAAAAGAAAATAAATGAATGAATGAATTTTAAACACAACAGTCTTAAGTAATTTCCAATCACTAATTTATTTTCTATTCGCCGTGATGACAACAATATTTTAGTAGCAAAAAAAAAACAAACAATCATATTATTGACCTTAAAAGTTATCTCAAAATAAAACAATAAGAACAGTTTTAATTAAGCCAGACAAAAATAAATAAGACTTTCTATAGTAAAAAATAATATGAGATACTCTGGAAAATCTGCCAATACTGCTATATCAAACAGCATTTTAGGAAAACAATTCAAATATATATTCTAGCAGTGAAAACCAATCTGATAGCATGTGACACATTTGCGAAAGCAATAAGCTTGTTTCTTTTTCCACCTCGACTCTGTTAAAACAGCGAGCTGGTGTAAAGGCAGCGTTAGCACTTCCTAAATCTATCTTAGATTTGCAGAGCAACACCTTGGATGATCTAAAAGTGAAAGAGCTATAATCAGAAGTGCAGCGGAGCAAATGGCTTCAGCTGGAGGTGTGAAAGGGACTTTGAGGGCCACTAAACTGGAGGAAGCTCCAACATTTGGTGTTGCGGTGGGAAAACAGAAGCCGTGTGGGCCCGGTGTGCCTCTCAGCCCTTTAACTGGTGTTTTTTGAGGTCACTGCGGTGCAGAAACCACACCAGGGGGAATTAATATGAACAAACAGCAACCTGATGATTCATTTGTGTAATATAGTGAAACACTGGCATTTTCTGATGAGAACGAGTCCAGGTAAACACTGACATTAAAGGCAACACATCATTGACCCTGTTTACTTGCTTTCATGCTGTTTTTTTTTTAAATAATAAAACACACATGAGAATTTATCATTAACAACAACAAAAAATATCCCTACTTCCCTACTTTTTAAATTTTCGTTAAGGATTCACAACTACAATTACAGATGCAGAAAATCTGAAGAATTATAAAATGATTGATGAGCATAGGCACATACAAAACTGATCAAAGACAATGAATAAATAAATAAATGCACAAATATATAAATAAAAAACATCAACACGTCATCCAAACTTATATGCACAATAATATCAGGTTAAAAAAAAAATAAATAAAAAAAATAATAATAATAACACAGTCATCCAAAAATAATATTAGGTGTAAAAAAAATAAACAAAAAATAAATAAAAAAACAACACCACAGTCATCCAAACGAATATGCATAATAATTTCAGGTATAAAAATAAATAAATAAATAAATGAATAAATAAATAAATAAACAAAAACAACACAGTCATCTAACGATAATATCAGGTGTAAAAATAAATAAGTTAATAAATAAATAAATAAACAACAACACAGTCATCTAACGATAATATCAGGTGTAAAAATAAATAAATAAATAAATAAACAACAACACAGTCATCTAACGATAATATCAGGTGTAAAAATAAATAAATAAATAAATGAATAACTGAAAAGTTTTTAAAAACACCAACACAGTCTTCCAAACGAATATGCACAATAATATCAGGTGTAAAAATAATAAATAAATAAATAAACAACAACATAGTCATCCAACGATAATATGTGTAAAAAATAAATAAATAAATGAATAAATAAATAAAAATATCAGCACAGTCATCCAATGATAATATCGGGTGTAAAATAATAAACAAAAAATAAATAAAATAAACAACAACACGGTCATCCAAATGAATATGCACAATAATATCAGGTGTAAAAAAAATAAATAAATGAATAAATAAATAAACAAAAACAACAACACAGTCATCCAATGATAATATCAGGTGTCAAAAATAAATAAATTAATAAATAAATAAATAAATAACAACATAGCCATCCAATGATAATATCAGGTGTAAAATAAATAAATAAATAATAAATAAAAAAATAATTACATATATATGTATATCGCCTCACAGCAAGAAGGTCACTGGTTCAAGCCTCGGCTCAGTTGGCGTTTCTGTGTGGAGTTTGCATGTTCTCCCTGCATTCGCGTGGGTTTCCTCCGGGTGCTCTGGTTTCCCACACAGTCCAAAGACATGCGGTACAGGTGAATTGGGTAGGCTAAATTGTCCGTAGTGTATGAGTGTGAATAAGTGTGAATGGATGTTTCCCAGAGATGGGTTCTCAATTTATACCGAGTGGAAATGAAAGTGACATTTCTGAATGAGCAATATATTCAGACTTTAAGAAGAATTCACTTTAATAAATAATCAAGAAGAAGGAATCCGAGGTTTCTAGAAGTCACCAGAAGTTCCTTGCATTGTGTGTTGGATTTTCTCCAGTTTAATCAAATGAAAAATGCATTTAATCCACAAGGATGTAGGCGATTATACTTTATCACACAATTTAATATCTTTTTTATGCTTGTATTGTTTTGTTTTTAAGAAATATACACTTGTGCAACATAATACTGGTTTTGTGCTATATTTAAAGTGCAATCAAATGGATAAAATCAAGTTTCTCCCCTACAGAATTATTTTCTCGCTGAATATCTGGATTTGCTCAGAAATATGTCACGTTAAGGAAGCAGAAAGGGTTGTGAATGCTCCACATTGACAGCCTAATGCCAGATAATGGTGCAAATGGCTGAAGATTACATTACAGGAGAAAAGCAGCAAGATCAAGCCTCATTCTAAACATTAAGGTCAGATCTCTCTCTCTCTCTCTCTATTTAGTGCATTAAGAGTAAAGGAGACTCGTCCGGTCTGATGAGGAGCTTTAGCTGTATTTGTGGACCAGACGACAGCATCATGTCAGTAGAGCACTAATCCACTGAAAAACACACACACATACACACGTGTTAGACAGGTTAACCCTGCAGCAATAGAGAATTTAACCCCGCGTGAAGCTTTACAGAATTATTTATAGATTGTTGACCAGACAATACACAGTTTGATTCAGTGAAGCCAATGTAAATAAAAAAAAACAATGGTATGTTGGATGCATACAAATATACAGCCTCTTTAATTCATTTACTCATTGTCCTTTGGCTTAGTCTCTATTTCAGAAGTTGCCAGTGACCTT